CTCAAAACAGTGTCATTATTTTAGACCCTTGAAATCGTAAATCATTTTCAGAAATCAATACGTAACTGTTAGTATTAAATTCTGGACGAAACATGAAACTTTTAAAAGGCTCCATATCAATGTCTTAATCTAAGAACGTGCAATCTCGTTCACTTGGGCATTTCCCAATTCCTCCCCTGGAGGAAAATAGATTGTTTCAGTCTATTTTTAGTTTTCTTGGGAACTGTGAAAAGGAATACCAATTTATCAATGAAGAGAAGTGATAGAAGTGATTGAAAGTAATTTTCTTCCACATCCAAAAATAGTTAGAGCACGTGTGCCTTATGTTGTATGTTTCAAGGATTTTACTGATACTTCGCGCAAGCAAATACGCCCCTACCAATTCTACGAGTACTGGAGTGTTAATAATTTAACGACGCCTATTATTTGCTCACAGCAGCTATTTTCTAGTATGAACTACAGTGCCGCCGCAAAATAGGATAGCTGAAAAGAGCTGTTCTTCTGTTTTTCCAAGAGATCCAAAGGTAACCATTTTCCAGCGCACTCTAGCGCTTAAAAAGTTTTTCAGAACTTTAACATTAAAGTATGTATTTTTTAGGGAATTTTATTTACTTTAATTTTCTTGAATAATAATTGTTTGGATAAAACGCGGAGTTTTGGAGATGCAAGCGAAAAAACAAAAACAGAGCAAAATTTTTAGTTTCTTTGCACTTTTCTCTGCGAATCCGACCTTTTTTGAGGTAACCAACATTAAATTCAAATTCATTACCCTCAAAAACGTATAGAACTGTTGAGAAAAAAACTTCAGGAATTTTGTCCTGGATCGGTTCCTTTTGAGCACCAATAGACTATTTGGAAGTGAGGTTATATAGTCGAACACTGGATTTAAAACATATCGAATACCAAATCAAATTTTTCTATTGGTAATGTTTAAGGATTTAAACCATATAGAAAAAAATTCGAAAAAAATGACGCTTCTGTGGATTGTATACTGCAGAACCATTATTTCGCATTTTCAGTGTAGTAGACCAATTAGATACTAATCCATTTATCTAAATTACATTTCCAACATTAGATTGAGCTGCAACAACATTTGGGTTTGGAGGGGGACGGGGGCACCAGCCGTCACTGATATACGTACTATGATGTACGCAGAATGTATGCGAGAAGGCATAAAAGCTACATGTTAGCGTGTACGAGCTCCTCTCATAGTTTCAAGCTGTTTGTAGACGTGGAAACTGGTCATCCACTTCCGACGATGACAAAATGGAAAATTGATTACTAAAGATAAAAATAACTTCTAATTCAAGTTAACTTGTAGATATGGTTGTGCCTATTTTTTTTATAGTTCCAATTTTGGATCCATCTTTCGCGTAGCTTTTATGCACACATCACAGAAATTCTGCTTTTATAATAGTTTTTGTATTAATTTTAATACTGAAATCCAATCGATCAATATTCAATTATAAGATAATTAATTTTGGAGAACTTAGTGACAAGTTAAATTTCCCACCTTTGAACCCTATCACTTGGATTCTCTGTTCTTTTGTCACTTGTATTGGGCATGGTCCAGGAAGTTATAAAAATCTGTATTACAACCAATTACAACCTTTTTGGGCTTGGCACAGAGAGTACTAATTATGGCATGGCAGCGAATCAAAATCGTCCTTCACTGTTCTCTACGTTCTCTGTACAGTGCAAGAATAGCGATAATTTACGAATTGTGATTGGAATTGGGGTTGAATGGCGCAAGTCTCTTTTATTTCGTTTGATACAAAATGGGAAGGTAAATTTTACATTTGCTCCCAAAACACGTGACAATGTGGTACAGCATTCACTGTCAAACTCCAGTTCGCTTATTTTGTGTTAAGAAATGATAACTTAGGTTATGTTATCTCATGCTCTCATCAAATATTGTTTCAGGCACAAAGAATGGAGGGCTCAGGCCAAAAAGATGAGGAGAAAACGGCTGAGGCAAAAAGCTGCCCAAAAAAGAGAATATCTTATGAATCAAGGTGGGTTAGAAATTAGCTTGCCTATGATGGTAAATTGTTGCAATCTTGTAAGACAAATGCAATTTTTTAGTTACATTTGCATTGTAATTACATGTTATAAATAATTTTATTAGGTCCTTGTAAAGGGTATGTTGTTTTTAATTGCAGAGCTGGAGGAAAGAGAAAAGTCACCACGCTATCAGGCATGGCTGAAGGAACAGGAAGAACTGGAGATATTTCAGGAGGAGGAAGAAGCACGTTTTCAGAGAGAACGCCATTTGAAATGGGAGCGGGATGAAGAGATTGCCCAACAATTGTGGCAGGAACGCAAAGAGAGACTTGCCAGAGCGCGTGAGGAGAGAGCACGACAAGAAGTGTGTATAAAATTCTCTTTCCATTTTTCTTTTGGACTTTTTTTTCAAGGTTTATTTGTTTAAATTAATTTATAAATGTCCATGATACAAAATATAGTAGTAGTGTAAATGTAGTTTATTTATTCATAAATTAGTGTATTATTTTTATCTAATTTGGCAGTGAAGCAAGGGAATCTCAAAATCAATCGATGAGCATTACTCATGATACGATTTAAGGAAGAGCTGGGTAGATAGATTCTTTCAGATGCATTTGAAACAAAAGTAGTGGGCCTTGTAGTTATACTAGTCAGTTCAAAGTAAATTTATTCCATTTCTCAAAAATGGAGAGATGATGTTAAACATTCTGTAAAGAAATAGAAGGCCATTAGACCAGTGTTGAGATTGTAAAGTTGGTGTATTAATATAATTTGAAATATCGTTATATTTGTGTCGTTCAGAAGGGTCAGAAAGATTAAGTTTTGTCACAACAAAATAAAAAATTGGTGTTGAAGAATTTCTAATTTTCTAATACATATTGTATGGGTCAAACTAATTTATATGCATAATATTGGAAGATCAGAAATCTTGACATGATCTTCGAATGAATTCTAGGGTATGAAGGACCTTATTATTAATATAATTGATATGTCCAGTGAACAATAATTTACAAGCCAGAAACCTACCTTAATTAGAAAATTTCTCTGGCCCGTGAACTGGAATGGCGTATTACACAGCATAAAATGGAACTTGTCCAATGTCGAAACAGAACAGTTTTTCGTGACCTACAGGGAAAAAACCTTTATAAAACAGTATTCCTGTGAATTTAATGCAAATGGTAGGAAGACGCAAGATATTCTTCATAAAAGGAAAGCATCTGCGAGCCTGTTTTAAATTCTTTTTACAACATTTGATTTAGTCATGGCAGCTGTACTGTGAAGGAGAGGGCTTCAGCTATCATTGTAGAATTTGAACTTGAGAACGCTTGCACCTCAAGGCGTATGTCATGGGGGAATTCCCTCCTTCCCGGCTCAGAGTGTGGGAATGTGTAATAATTCAAATAGTTTACTTGATAAACTACATGATTAATAATACAAGTAATTGCGATTAGTAAGCATTAAAATAATTTAAATTATTTTAAACTATACATAAGTCTTATTAACAAATTAAAAATAATATTAACAATTCACTGTATTAGTAAACAAGTAACAGATTATGATATAGTGGCAAATGCAATAACTTGAATACATTAGATGTTAATAATAAATGTAAGTGCTTACAATGACATGAAATATAATTACATTATTTATTACATTACTAATAGTGCATTGCCTAATTGAACTGAATAGCATGTACAATGAGTAGTCACTCTTGTAGTGGTACATGGTTAATAATTACAGAAAAGTTGAAACAATTCTGATCTCTTGAACGGTCACTCACATGAATAAGGTGACATTTAAACAATGTTTTGAAGTATTTATCATTGGCTGAATTCATAGTAACTGAGAGTTAGCTGTGTAGCAATGCAGAATGGATCTTCATTTGTTGAAGACTTGCTAGTGTAAATCCTGTGATAGTCCGTGTGTCCTATAGTATGATAGTTATGTATACTGCCCGTGGCAGGTATCAGCTGTTGGTGGTTGCCTCTAATCGAGAGCTTGAATGTCACCTTGGATCATCAATTATGATTGAATGTACTAATGGAGTTAGCTTGTGTGAGTAATTATTCAGACACCTTCAGGTCCAGGAACTTCGTTTCGATCAAGTTTTTGAATTGATGAATGTTTTTGTTTTTGAGTTATTAAACTGTATTTGTTATATTGACATAGAAATTGGAAACATTTGGGACATTAGAATGAGGGACAAAAACCAATTCAAAATTTTCAGCAAAGTCACAGTAATAGTCTTTTTTTCTTAAAAGCAACATCTTGAAAAAAATAATTAGTAAATTATTGAATTTGAATTGAATTGAATTTGCCTTATTTTACGTGGCGAGACGATTATTGTCCAATTATAATTGAAAAGAAATGTTTTTGTAAATATTTTGACTACACCAGCCAGTTAAAAGTATTTCTCCATTAGTCTCTCAACTTTTTAGTGCTGTTACCTTAATTTTTTTTAACAATGATTATTGTTTGATGTCTTGGTTTTTGGGTAACTTCATTATGTTTTGAGTGTTATGTGTCATCTTGATAAATGTTTTTGTTATTGAACAAATAGAGAGTGCTTGGTGAATCCATATTATTTGCTAATATTATTTACATTTCAATTTATATTGCAGTTAAGAATAAGAGAAGAATGGGAACAGGAACAGAAGCGTTTACGTGAAGCTGAAGAAGAACAAAGAAGAATAGAAGAGGAAAAGAAACAACGTCAGGTAATGAGGTTTGGGTTAAGAGAGAATAATAATATCTTAAGCTGAGTTTTTTAAGCAAATCAGCTTGAGCTGTAACAGTGATTGGGATGTTTAATACTGCTTTAAAGTGTTGGTTTACTTCACTTCTGAACTTCTTGGTTTGTTTTTAATTGCAGGAAGAACTTATGCGAAAAATTGATGAATTACTTTCAAAGGTAAGTAGGTTATTAATAGAAATATCCAACTTCAAAATATATATTAACCATTGGTTGATTGGAAGAGTACAGTTCATCTGAGGGAATTTGTTTAAACTGGCAGTTTACACCACTTAGGTGAAGGGTACACTCATGAACGAGGCTCGGATTCTGATGACCTAAAAATTCATTGAAAACAAACCTTAAAATGACTTAAAAATAAAGGAAAATGACCTAACTCAATAAAAAAAAAAAACTTAAAAAATTTGTCTCAGAATATTTATCTATTCAATGAATTTTACAATTTTAAATAAAATTTATTTATATAAAATTATATAAATGATATAATTGGTATAATGTCTTTATTTTAGGAGGAAATATTATTCTTAGGTCCTATCTTCCAACTGACAGTTTCGAAAGGCTAAGGAAGTTACTGAAAATCTGTGTAATTTTGAGAGTTCGAAAAAAAGAGCACTGCAGTAGTGAATTTTGTCTTGAATTGATGACACAATAAAAACTGTTTTAGTCTGCCATTGTAAATTCACGAAACATTCAGTGACTAAAAACATGAAAAGAAAGTGAACTGCTTAACATTGACAAAATTGAGCAAAGATAAAAAAAATACCTAAATGACAAAAAATGGCAAGACATGGTTAATGACTTATGACTGCCAATACATACATTTGATTAATTTTGAATATAAACAGCTGCCTACACATACATTACTCAATAACTATAAATTTCTATCACCTATAGGTTGTGATAAACATTGCTATGCTAAACTAGTTAGCTCAGTCTAGAATGCATCAATGAACTAATGACATGTCATCAGAATTGAAGCTGTACTCATGAAGGAGCAGAGGAAGTCTCAAATGGCGTAGGGGTAGTGCATCTTTCATATCCTTTGTTTTGTATTGTATATTGTCATGGATATTTTAAACTACTGTTTGTTCAGTGAAATGTAACAAACTAGTAAAATGGCTTCCCATGTATTCACCAACTGAAAATATTTTTTTAGACTTGCTTATTTGCTAGGAAAAGTGTATGAGACTCCTGGACTCACCTTGTACTTTGTCACTTTTTGAAATCTTTCTCAAGAATGAAACAAATTGTATGATCTGTATTTTCAACATATAATATCTCATCCTGTACAGTTTTGGACTCACCTTGCACGTTCTTGGGTTGATGGTGTCGATGGTGTAACGATTCGCGCACAGGACTGTTGTACCCAAGTTGGCGGGTTCAAACCTGATCGAAGCCATTGATTTTTAAGGGCGAAAAAATCCTTCGTATGTCTTCCTTCGGAGGGGAAGTAAAGCCGGCTGTCCCATGTTCGTAGATTTACTTGCATGTAAAAGATCCTCAAGCCTAAATGACACCTTTGAGCTAAATTCAAATCACCTGTTTCTCGCCCAAGAAATACCTCCTTTCTCTCCTAGTTGGTGAAAGGAGCATAGCGAAATTTGCGTGGTCAGACGGAAGAGCAGGCCTGATGGCCAGAGTCTCCCCACGTAAAATAAGGCAAATTCAAGTCAATTCAATTGAATCATTAAATTAAGAAGGTAACATTCATGAAGCAGATCAGATAGTTTCAAGGCTCTTGATGTATTAAAATTCATTGATTTAATATTGTTATGTTGGTCTTAGCATACATTTGTTTTTCTTGATTTCATTTAGGGTTTCTTAAGTATAGTTGTGCCAAAAAATTAGAGAATGAAGAGGTTTTACTTCATCCTTAAGGTGTATTTGGGTTTCAGGGAGAAGAATTACCAAGTGATCTTATTACAAGCAATGAGACTCATCCAGATAAACCTCCTTGCCCATTCTTTAGTAAAACTGGTGCATGTCGCTTCGGAGATTGGTGTTCAAGGTAAGTGTGTTGTGAGAAAAAGTATGAAATGCTCTTATGGTTTGTATAAAGATTTTTAAATAAGAAAATTTTTAGATAAAAACAAACAAACAAACAAACTTCAACTTAATTTAATACTTTTTTTAATATGATTTTTCAGAAATCATATGCGTCCTTCAATGAGCAAGATTTTACTAATTCCTAATTTCTATACTCATTTTGGTCTTCAGCAAGCTCTTGTTGAAGAGTATGACAGTGACGTAATGTTGGAATATGGTGATACGGAAACATATCAACATTTCAAGTATGTTATTCTTTATATTTTATCTTGAATAACCTGAACCAGGAATTGGAGCCATATCTCCTGGTTTAAGCTCAGTTTCTTTAATTAATGAGCTGTAGACACAGGATATGCATTGCTGGTTGTTTGGTCCATCTTTTGAGTGACTGTTAGATATGTCACCACTGTCATCTTCATGGCTGCCATTAATTATGTCATGAACCCAGAAGTCCATAAATGTACTGCCAGATGGAGAATTACTCTAGATGCTTCCAAAAGATTTAACCCTTCAATGTGGTATGCTGTCTCCAAAGGACAATTTTCTCTAACTTCCATTTGTAATATGCCTTGCCTGGATGGGATGGATTTTCCTTGTCGTTTGCAGTAAGCCATCTCAAAACAGAAAGGGCTTTACCTGTTTCTACTCTCATTTGCAGTGTGCTGTTCAGATACATTGTGTTCGGTTTTCAAGTTATCAGTGTTAACTCATTTAAGCAATACTTTGCATTTCTTATTGTGGGTTTCAATACGAATATTTTAATTCTGATTATTGTTTGTTTGATTCTTCGTGAAGTTTAAAACAACAATTTATTTAGAGTACATTTTGTATGTGCTACATAGCATGTTACATTATTGCAGCTGCCAAACCTTTGTATTATTATATTATTCCAAAATATTTTTTTTATTAAAGTGTGTTTTTTATAATATATTTTATTTATATAAAGTGTTCTTTTAATATTTATAACTTTCATAATTTTATTTTATTCAAACATTGCTGTAGATGACATGTAACTCAACTTGAACAGTTAATTTTATTTCCCATTTCCCCTCTTATCCTGAAAATGCAAAAGTAAATTTTACTTTTAGGGACTTTTTTGAAGATGTTCTTCCTGAATTTGAGTGTCATGGGCGAGTGGTACAATTCAAGGTGTGTCGAAACTTTGAAGCCCATCTGCGAGGCAATGTTTATGTAGAGTATGCCTACACACGAGATGCTGTTGCAGCCTATAAAACATTTCATGGTCGCTGGTATGGTGGTAGGCAACTCAATGTTGAGTTCACATGTGTTAATTCATGGACATCTGCAGTTTGTGGTGAGTAAATTTTTCAACGTGTGCTTTATTTCAATTAATTTTATTGTATTTTGATTCTCTTTATTTTGTAATTAATCAGATGTTTCATATTAGACTGTTGAATCATAGAAACTTTTTTGCCATCCAGAGGTAACAAAGGAGTTTCCAGAAATGTGTTTTACTAACATATCCTCCCGTGCATTTGAGAATTTAAAATGTTTTAATTTCCCTTTTCTTGTATTTTCCTTTTTTTTCTTTCTTCCTCTTTTTCTTTAATTACATTTATAAATAATGTGATGTGGAACATTATTTAAGATTGCTTAAATTTTTTTAACCTTTATGAATAAACAATTGAATGTATTCTACATTTTTTTCATCCCCAAAACTGCTTGATTTTAAATCTAAATTTAATTTTCATTAATTCTAATTGCTTTTGGAAAATAAATAATTGCAAACTTTATTTTTATGAGACTAATATATTGATTTTTTATGAAGAAAATTACTTGGAATTTCAGGACTGTATTACAAGCAGCGCTGTCCAAAAGGTAAGAGCTGCAATTTTCTTCATGTATTTCGAAATCCAGATGGCCTCTTCGATTTTCCTACCTGGGGGCGCAGATCCTCTGGAGCTCCAACACAAGCCTCTGGATCTCGTCATCACAAGACAAATCAGCTGAAACGTGGTCGTCGTTCCTGGTCAAGATCTTCTTCCGAGTCTCCATCACGATCCCCCTCTCGCTCTCCATCGCGGAGAAATAAGAGGTATATACGTTTGAATCCAATGCAGTGGTCCCAGCGTATGTGTGCACATGTGTATGGATGCACGTACACGCGTGTGCTTGTGTGACTTTTGTGTATGTGTGTGGGTGCGTGTCTATCTGTCTGTGTGTCTGTCTCTGTATACTACGCCACTAATTGTCTGCGACATCCGTACATTTACCTGTCTATTCAAGAAATACATTAGTCTCAGAGTGAAGCTCAGGTGGAATTTGCACTATGATCTCAGCTGAAAGACACATACACAATTCGCTTTAAAGGAGAACAGATGATCTTCCACGACAGTTACAGAATTGTTTTCCATTGTTAAGATGCGATAACTTATTTATAGGAAGAAACAGGAGTTACACAATTTATGGCCAAACGAAATAACTAGTCATATTTCTGAACTCGTCCTACAGTCAACAATGATTCTCAAATATTTCTACCAAATCAACAAATCATATGTGATAGCCCAAACCTGATTACAGTTCTAGATTCAGCATAAAATATGCTTCTAAATTACGATTTCTGTGGGAACGAAAAACCTTGTTGACCAGTGTAATTGTTGTTCTCCTTTTTGCCTGATCACGATGACATTGTGTGTGTGTGTGTGTTCGTAATCCTCACTTTATTTTCTCTTACATATGGTTCTTAGTATCGGAGCTATATTTAGTATGTTACTGTTTTTTAATGATTTCAAGAGATCAGCTGTTGCACTATTGTAGCGCAAGTTAATTTGTATCATTTTGATATGTCAGAGGTCCCATTGTCCCTCTTAATAGCGATGTAACTTTAATGTCTGCCGTATATCTTGGTTATTGTTTGCTTTGTAAGGAATGATTTTTTACTTTTGTATTTCTAAATTTGTTGTTTTCATTGCACTTAATGTACATGTGTGCCCATTAGAACCTAACATTACCTGTTTCTTTTCGAACTAGCCTGATGAGTAAAAAATATGAGTTGGAACATTTTTTCCCCATAAGCCTAAAAATTAGCTTTTACATTTGGATAGAGTTTAATATTTTTCTGAGGTTTGACTCTTTGTGTATAATAGCCCATATGCAAGATTAGCTTTAGATAGAAGCGTGATTTTAAAGAAAAAAACTGTCTTCTAAGAATTCAGGTCACGGACATTATGCAGCAAATCGAGGTTCAAAATTATTAGCGAATCTTCACGAAAATTACTAAGTATATTTCACCCATAGCTTATGCGCAAACGTGTTCATTTCTTAGATATAATTTAGGTGTTCTGTGAACAACCAATCAATACATATGTTTTGTACTGTATTTGCCAAGATTGCATCACCACATGAACTATAAATACTTGTATCTACTACGCCACTTGTCACTGGATGATTACATGTCTCTTTCCCAAGTTTTACGGACCGAGGGGACTAATCTTCCTCTTCTTAAGCGATGGAACCCTAGTTCTCTATGTTTTGGCACGCTCATCGATCAATCATCTCAACAGCCCTCTGCTGGTCTTTTTCAGAAAGTCAGCTGAATGTTTTTCAGAATTCGGCGTATATTCGTAACATTGCTTGATTTGGCAGGATGAAAGACATTGAGATCTACAAGCGACGATGTTCATTGGACATGCCGGTAACGCCATATGGGCGAACATGTAGAGAAAAGCACATGAAGGTGAATGTATCTGGAAAACATGCAAACAACATTTGCTAGAACTTGAGAAATGGGGGAAACACAAAGAATATGCGAGAAATATATAGTAAGGACCATACAGGGATACACCTTAAATGGGGCACATGGAGCTTGATTCTTATGGCACATATACTACTGGATTATATTAAAAAATCAGATGCTGTTGAACCGCTTCAGTAACATATTTAAACAGAGAAGTTAGCTGTACTGGGATCCCATTATTCCTTTCTCCTCGATGCGTCACGCAATGAGCAAACCATCTTGACAATCTGATGTAAAAAGTAATTGATACATTCAATAAAAGACCTGCTGTACAGATATTGTAATTTCGACACGTTTTAAAGGCCTCACGATTACCAAGGACGTGTCTGATCAAAGGATTGTTATCCAGAATGGAGCTTTATGGGTTTGTAATTTTTTGTATTGCCAAAGCATAAAAGTATTTCCTCAACGCAGCAGAAAATTTGGAAAAAAAATAACACGGAAAGATTTATTTCCACTTCACTGAATTCATTGAAAATTCATTGACTCTGGCATTTTTAGAATTACAAATGTAATGCACAAACTTAACTAACGTTGAGTTGGAGAACTATTTGCAGAGACGACTTCAATGGATAAGATGTCCATTTGGAAATTAAGCTCTCAATTGTTTTGAATTTGTTCTAAAATTTTTTTGAAATTCCTTTATAAATTTATTGAGATGTTTTGTACAAGAGAGAAACGCAATTGGCGGTGCGTCAAGTAGTCTCCAGAAAATCTACAAGCTTCCAGAGCAGAGAACTGATCGTAGAAGTGAAAGACATCGAGAAGTACAAGAAATAACTCTCATTCTGAAGTCACAGTTCAAGTTTCTCGTACAGCAATCGTAATCTGCACCCCGCAATAAAAAAAAACAAAATAAAAAAAAAAATTAAAAAGTTAAACAGAAAAAAAAAACCAATAAAATGCGGAATCTCACGAAAATTTCAATCATATAATAACAGACGTAGATAAATAAATACATGAAGATGATAGAATGATGATAAGCTAAAGAAATATCATTCCAAAAATGACAGATAATAAAGACGGATAACAATGATTCGACATATATAAGGATGAATTGGGTAAATAGACAGAAAAAATATAAAAGGACTCAGAATAATAAATGAAAAAAAATCAATAAAAGAATAAATGCAGAAAAAATAAAAGAGAATTAATATAATTAAAATAATAAAATACAAAAAGATTAAAGTCAGAACAGAGGTCCAGTAAAGCATCAACTAGATGCATTATGAAAATACACAAAAATATCACATACTGACGATCCAAAAAGTTAACAAATTTAAATAAATAAAGACACATATTAGAGATCCATAAAAATAAAAAAGACTAATATGTTTGAAGTAAGTATGAAGGATATAAGAACAACAGAATAATATACAACATAGCAGAAACTAGTAGTATCGATGACAAAGTAAATGACAACCAATTAAAAAACTAGTGAATATATGGCAATGATGCTATGATTATACAAGTAGAATCAAAAAAAGATACTAAAATTAAATAAAATATATTATAATTACAATTGAATATAATTAACAGAAGATAAGAAAAGGAATCATTAAAAGATGTAAATTAGGAGACAAGAAAGAGAAGAGATGTGAGCAATTTATATAGAATAATGAATAATAGACTCATAATAGACGGAAGAATTATACGAAATAATATTAATATAAAAGGATTAAAAGGATAAAAAGCTACGAGAAAAAGATAAAAGGAATGACTAACCAGGTATTACATAAAAAAATAGCAAATATAAATAAATAAATAACAGCAAAAAATTTAAGAAAAATAATAATTAGAGAAAGAAATTTATACCAGCAATCTATAATTAAGAAATACATTAGAAAATATAATGAATAATAAACAAGTATCACTCAAGAAAAGAAATAATAATAATATAAAATAGAGAAATAACGCGAATAATGAGAAATAACATTTAGTAATAATTAGGAATATGTCGATTGATACATCTAAAAGAGTGACAATGAAGCAGATTATGAATCACTAAATAGAAAGGTAAATAAAGAAGAATATCCATAATAACGATAGACGGAGAGATAAGGTAAAGTAAAATTGAAAAGCAGCGATTGAAGACGTGTAAATAATAGAAAATATAAATAAACAATAAATCACCAACAAAAAGAAAAGTCAAAATAAAGGATAGAAAATAAGATATGATTATAACGGACGAACATAAACATGTATAAATAGGGAAAATTCCATCAAAAAGAAGGATATGATAAAAAAGTAAAATTGTTAAGAGAAAAAATAAAAGTGTAGCATGAGTAAAAATCAACTATATAGTCAGTAAGATATATAATTGTTTAAAAGAGTAACATAAATATTAAAAAAAAAATATACCAATATGATCACATAATAAATACTTCTACAGGCTTCGCAATGGGGCAATCATAAAAAACGAAGGACGCGGAGAGATTATAAAGCATAAATTTAATAATAATAAAATCTTGGGTATGAGATTGATGGGTCATACGGTAAAGATGATCCGAGGCCGAAGAGTAAATATCATAGAGACCGTAAGCATCCTACAAAAACATAGAGGATAGTCATAAAATGAAGCCAAAAGAGACAAAAAGAGAATAATAATGAGAATAGTTAAAAATGAAAATCGATTAGAACAGGAACTAAAAAATGTAATCGAAAATGATAGAATAACAGAGAATGTAAAGACTCATTTAGGAAGTATTAAGATACGACGAGACAGAAGAAAGTTATAATCATAAACATATATCCATAAAAAATTAAGTATAAGAAAATGAGAAAGATTAACAATAGATGACTCAAGTCCAAATATAAGAAATATAATTAGACATATCCATATATAACAACTAAAAGTAAAGAAATCACAAAGTATAAAAATAAAATAAAGAAATATATAGTATAAATAAATTAATATAAAAAATTAATTTACAGAAATTCATAGTACGCAGGATACAGATTAAATTCCACACATAATAATTAAGAGAAAATAAAAAAAAGACTAAAGAAAGTATACAATTCATTATGAAGAAATGAACATCAAACTGATATGAGTCTGAAAATGCAAGCATATAATGCTTGATTCAAATGATGATCATTCATAAGAAACATATAATATTAACAATGTATAAAATATATATAAGAAAACAAAATTCCATTACAAAGTAGAAAAATAAGATTAAAAGAATAATAATACTAAATATATATAAAAAAAATCAATATAATATGAAAAAAATCCAAATTAAGAATAAAGAAGCAAAAATAAAATCCAATTGGAAAATATCATATCAAGAAACAAAAAGAATATAAAAAAATTAAACTGATCAAAATAAACAAAGGCATGAATAGAGTTTAGGAAATAGGAAAGATTATAACATATCTAAAATGACGACATATTACATAATTAATCCAATTATATATTAAAAAATAATTTCAGGAATAATAATAAATAATAAAAAAGATCATGTAATCTAGACACTCACAGCGGAAATAAACATAATTAAGCATCGCAGAAACAAAAATATCTAATAGAAAACTAATATCATATCATATTTTTATACAACTATAAGAATTATAATATATTTACCCATATACAAATAACTATAGCAAATATAAATATGGTATAATTTAACATTCAATCTTAACTTGCCATCTATCGTAACTCATTATTAGTAAAGCCATCGCCTAATACAAGCACTACAATAAGCATGGATCGAACTATAAATTTATCAATAGGCAGAAATAAGATGATGAATTAATGGCATGCACAAATAGGATAAAAATTAATATAATTAGGGGAAAAATGAATAATAATCATGACAAAAAAAGAAATATATTATGCTTTACATATCCATCGGACAAAGAATTATGAAAATAATAAAACAAGTATTCCAGTAAAAAAAAAAAATATAAAGTAAACACAAAACAAATAAACGAAAACCACATTAAAAAGATAGATTATTAACACAGAGCTGAACGAGGCATGGTCTTCTGCCGGGTCACGTCGAATGACTACGCTATGGGCGTAGCTGTCGGAGCGGTGGGAGGCGAGGAAACACAGGCGGCGGTCTCCAGGATCCAGCTGAACTGATAGCAAAAGGAGTGGTGGTACATCCCAGAAAATACATTTTTATATAAATGTGCTATGTGTGGTTATGCTGTTAGTGAGCATTTAAACTGTAATCTCAGAAAGGCCTTGAATAAACATTGTGTGAAAAAAACATTGAGAAAATTGTGTAAACATTTAATTTTTTCTAAAGAAGTGACAAATTGAGTAAATGAAGTTTCATTGTGCAAAAATTCACCCTTATTTGTTGAAGAGTGGAAAAACTATAATTCTGATGAATGTGTATCTGTGATAAATTACAGAAACATGATTATGTTGAGTCATTTTTGATATTTAATTGAAAAAAACAAAAACGTTTGATGTCCAGGATCTTCAATTTTTGGACAGCAAAGAAATCGGTTTTAAATCTTGGTCATCAATCGTTTTTACTTGCCACTTAGACTCAGAGACATCAAAGATGCTTCGGACAACTAACTTTTATGTATAGAAAGTTGTCCATTTCTTGTATCAAGAACTGTTCCCTGCCATTAACTGAAAACTCGATACAATATGACATTCAACGTCTTTATTTGCTCCGCTTGTTGGCATGGAGAGCAATTCAAATTTTAATTAACTTTTTTTTTCCCTGTGTAGAGACCTTTCTTTTTCATATATCATGAACAGAGACATTTTCTCGGTTTGTGACTCAGAAGAAATTGATAGTATGTAAAAGTTCTAAATAAATCCCAAGTGAATATTGAAAATCAAAAATTGGTGGACAAATGTATCTGTGATTTAGATTATTGAAAACATTGTGAAAGATTCTTGTAATGGGTTTACAAAGTGTGTGCTAGTGTTTATCTATCAGTTCTAATAAAAGTGAATTCAACATGTAACCGACATCGATACCACAAAAAGTTGTGTATCAATAGTTCCAGATTATTACACGCTCTTCTTTAGGTTTGTCCAGTGGTGTAGGCGCAATGGAAGAGACTGATGTTTCGCATCCCACAGTTTTGCGGCTCAGTGTCGTAACACTATTGTTTGTAAATAAAGAAAATTAATCGAATCCTTACATATGTTCCGCACACAAAGAACATAAAAATCAGCTTTCCCGTCCGGCGTGTTAGATTTTTTTCTCTCCCTCAAACGTTTATCTGTAACCCCCCTTCCAGAGGTGTGTGTGTGTGTGCGCGCGCGCGCGCGCGTGTGTGCGTGTCTGTGTGTGTGCGGACGCGCGCGCGCGCGTGTTGAATTTCTCGTCGAGAGTTTTACTCACGTAATTTCAGAAGGAAGTAATGAAATTATTTATTTTCGTATTTTTCACTAAATTTCTCCAATTTTGTCTTAACTTTGGTCACGCTTATTTCCTAAACTAATAGGCGGATATAAGTCTGGTTTGCACCATAGTTCTTCTCGTCATAAGTTGCACTTTTAAACATAATTTCAGAAGAAAGCGATGAAATTAATTATTTTCGTATTTTTCGTTAAATTTCTCCAATTTTTTCTTAACTTTGTTTCACGCGTATTTCCGAAACTAATAAGCGGATTGAAGGCTGGTTTGCAGTATTGAACTTTTCATCGAGTGCTGTACTCAAATACTTTATTTGAGAAGGAAGCGATAAATTTATTTATTTTCGCATTTTCCAAAAAAATTCTCTCATTTTTTCCTAACATGGTTTCACACGATTTCCGAAACTAATAGGCGGATTGAAGTTGGTTTTCACCACTGAATTTCTCGTAAAGAGTTGTACTCGCATACGTAATTTCAGAAGGAAGCGACGAATTTAAATTTTTCCCTATTTTTCATTAAATTTTTCCAATTATTTCTTAAACTTTTCACACGTATTTCCGAAATTAATAGGCCGATATAAGTCTGGTTTGCACCTTCGAATTTCTCGTGAAAAGTTGCACTTTTAAACGTATTTTCAAAGAGAAGGGATGAAATTACTTATTTTCGCATTTTTCGTTAAATTTCTCTAATTTTTTCTTAACTTCGTTTAACGCGTATTTCCGAAACTAATACGGGGATTGAAGTCTGGTTTGCAGGATTGAATTTCTCATCGAGGGTTTTACTCATATACCTTCTTTGAGTGTGAAGCGATGAATTTATATATTTTCGTATTTTTCATTAAATTTATCTATTTTTTTCTTAACTTTGGTTATGCTTATTTTCAAAAGTAATAAGCGAATATAAGTCTGGTTTGCACCTTAGAATTTCTCGGCAAAATATGCACTTTTAAACGTAATTTCAGAAGGAAGCGATGAAATTAATTAATTTCGCATTTTTCGTTAAATTTCTCTAATTTTTTCTTAACTTTGCGTCACGCTTATCCGAAACACATGGGCGAATAGATGTCTGGTTTGCACCATTAAATTTCTCGTTGAGAGTTGTACTCACATACGTAGTGTCGAAAGGAAGCGATGAAATTAATTATTTTCATATTTTTCACTAAAAGTTTTTATTGTATTAACTTTAATTTAGGCGTATTCCCGAATCTAATGGGCGAATAGATGTATATTTTGCACCATTAAATTTCTCGTTGAGAGTTGCACTCACATACGTAATTTCAGAAGGAAGCGACGAAATGAATTATTTTCGTATTTTTCACTAAATTTCTCCATTTTTTCTTAACATTGTTTCACGCGTATTTCCGAAACTAATAGGCGGATTGATGTCTGGTTTGTGCCATTGAATTTCTCGTTGAGAGTTGTACGCACATACGTAATTTCAGAAGGAAGCGATGAAATTAATTATTTTTGTATTTTTCACTACCTTTTTTATTTTTTTTCTTGACTTTAATTTAAGCGTATTTCCGAAACTAATAGGCGGATTAAAGTCTGGTTTGCAGTATTGAATTTCTCATCGAGTGTTGTACACATATGCTTTATTTGAAAAGGAAGCGATTAATATTTGTATTTTCGCATTTTTCAATAAATTTCTTTAATTTTTTCTTAACTTGATTACACACGTATTTCCGAATTTATTAGGCTTACTGAAGTCTGTTTTTCACCATTGAATTTCTCGTGAAGAGTTGTACTCACATACGTAATTTCAGAAGGAAGCGATGAAATTAAATATTTTTGAAGTTTTCACTTCAGTTTTTAAATTTTTTCTTAACTTTAATTTAAGCGTATTTCCGAAACTAATAGACGGATTCAAGTGTGGTTGTCAATATTGAATTTCTCGTCGAGTGTTGTACACATATACCTTATTTGAGAAGGAAGCGATGAATTTTTGTATTTTCGCCTTTTTCAATCAATTTCTCTAATTTTTTGTCAACATTGTTTCACGCGTATTTTCGAAATTAATAGGCGGATTAAAGTTTGGTTTGCAGCATTGAATATCTCTTTCGGGAGTTGTACTCACATGCGTAATTTCAGAACAAAGCCATGAATTTAATTATTTTCGTATTTTTCACGAAATTTCTGTATTTTTTTTAACTTTGTTTCTTGCTTATTTCGGAAACTAACAAGCGTATCGATGTCTGGTTTGCAGCTTTGATATTCTCGTCGGGAGTTGTACTCACATACGTAATTTCAGATGGGAGCGTTGCAATTGAGTATTTTGGTATTTTTCACTAAATTTCTCTAATTTTTTATTAACTTGGTTTGACACGTATTTCCGAAACTAATAGGGGGATCGAAGTCTAGGTTGCAGCATTGAATTTCTCGTCGGGAGTTGTACTCACATACGTAATTTCAGAACTGAGCGATGAAATTAATTATTTTCGTATTTTTATCTTAATTTCTCTAATTTTTTCTTAACATTGTGTCACGCTCTTCAACGCATAATAGGCGTATTGAAGTCTGGGTTGCATCATTGAATTTCTCGTTTGGAGTTGTACTCACATACGTAATTTCAGAACGGAGCGACGAAATTATTTTTTTTCGTATTCTCACAAAATTTCTCTAACTTTTTATGAAATTTGTTTCCCGCGTATTTCGGAAACTAACAGGCAGATTGATGTCATGTTTGCAGGTTTGAAATTCTCGTCGGGAGTTGTACTCACATACGTAATTTCAGAAGGGAGCGTTGAAATGGAGTATTTTGGTATTTTTCACTAAATTTCTCTAAATATTTATTAACTTTGATTGACGCGTATTTTCGAAAGTAATAGGAGGATAAGGAGGAGGATAAGTCTGGTTTGCAGCATTGAATTTCTCGTCTGGACTTGTACTCACGTACGTAATTTCAGAAGGGAGCGATAAAATTAATTATTCTCGTATTTTTCACTAAATTTCTCTAAATTTTTTAAAATCTGTTTTTTTTACTGCTTATTTCGGAAACTAACAGGCGGATTGATGTCTGGTTTACAGCTTTGAATTTCTCGTCGGGAGTTGTACTCACATACGTAATTTCAGAAGGGAGCGATGAAAATAATTATTGTCATATTTTTCACAAAATTTTATTCTAGTTTTATCTTAACATTGTTTCACGCTTTTTTCCGAAACTAATAGGCGGATTGAAGTATGGTTTGCATCATTGAAGTTCTCGTCTGGAGTTATCCTCACATACGTAAATTCAGAACGGAGCGATAAAATTAATTATTTTCGTATTTTTCACTAAATTCTCTAATTTTTTTATTAACTTTGTTTTCCGCGTTCTCTCTCTCTCCCTCCCTCCCTCTCTCCCTCTCCCTCTCTCTCTCTCTCTCCCTCTCTCTTTCTCTCTCTTTCTCTCTTCTCTCTTTTTTCTCTCTTTCTCTCTATTTCTCTCTATTTCTCTTTCTCTTTTCTCTCTTTCTCTCTCTTTCGCTCTCTTTCTTTCTCTCTCTTCTCGTCTCTGTTCTCCTCTCTCCCCCCTCCTTTTATTCCTCTTCTCTCTCGTCATCCTCACTTTATTTTCTCTTTCATATGGTTGTTAGTATCGGAACTGTATTTAGGATGTGATTTTTTTTATTGATTGCAAGAGTTCAGCTCTTGCGCTATTGTAGCGCAAGTTAATTTGTATTCTTTTACATGTCAGTGGTGCCAATGCCTCTAATAATAGCGATGTATCTTTAATGTCTGCCGTATATCTTGGTTATTGTTTGCTTTGTAAGGAATGATTTTTTACTTTTGTATTT